TATATATACACGTAATAAATTTTCAGCACTAGCAGTGAATTTTGGAACACAGCCTTGACAGTCTATCTTGGACTGTCGTTGAATTTGAAATGCATTGATAATATAATGACAATATTTGTTGATACTGTTGATAGTTATTACTGAGAGCTTTCCAGGAGACATATATCGAAAATTTTTGTTTAGCGAGAGGTAGAGACAGAGAGAATGGCTCTTGTGTCGATCATGTATCCCTTGCTGGAAAGCTCCCAATAATAATAGGTCAAGAACCATTTGTTTAACATAATATTTTTTGTTACAGCTTTTATGATAGCCACGCAAGTGTTCTTCACAATATGCTTTCTGCTGGGTTTAATATCATTCTTTCTGATATTACTCTTCACTCTGTGTTGCGACCCAGAGCGAAAGAGATATATCGAGCTGATAACTACCATCGGTTACTTGCTGCTGGGTAGCGGTATCAGCGGTGGCATAGCAGTCATCGTATTTGCCTGCCTTGGTAACACCAACGGTTGGATGCCTGGACACGCCAATAATTATTTAGGATGGTCTTTCGCTCTAGCTGTCATAGGCAGTGTACTAATGCTGATCGCCAGCGGTTTATTGCTGGTAGAGGCAACCGTTCAACGAAAGAAACGAGACTATCTGAAAGAATCTCAAATGCGTTTTCAACTTGAATCTCGCGCCTAAAATAAATAGCACTTCCTGACTTGTTCGCAAGAATTGCGCACAAGCGTCTGTATTAAAAGTCTGTAGTACCGTTCCGTCCATGCAGGGTGCAACGTTTTATTTTAGAACTTTTCTCTTTCTCTATGGAATGTACAAAAAAGATCTGTATTAATTTAAGTTTAGAAAATACGTAAGTTTAATATTTTTGTACAATATTTTATATCTCTCTTTACATAATATTACGTATATCAAATCATAGTACTGTACGATAATATCGTTATTAACGATATGAGACGGTACACGCGTCTTAAAACAATTGCAGAAAAATTCGCAAGAAATTAAACAATATAAAAAGGGTCCACGATTTTTTATTCGAAACAATTGTGCCTTTTTAATATAAAGATTTAAAGCTCGATAGGGCAAATTTTTTAATTCATCGATTGATCAATCGCACTGTAATTTTGTTCCGTAAAAGCTGCATTTGCGCATAATGCGATTAATCAATCGATGAATTAAAAAAACTCGCCCATATATTTATATAAAATTGTAAGCTATGAGGAAAGGTTATTTATTTACGAATCGTGTGCACAATTAATCGTTTTTCTCTTTTCTATTCAAAAGATGCATTTAATTAAGATGCAACGCTATTCTTTAAATCCCCTCTCATTTTTTGACAAATATTTTATTATATATAATATTTTATTATAATTTTCACTTGACTTGATAATTTGATGTGGTCATTTTTATTACTTATATATAGTTTTTCACGAACTTTTCTGTGTAGCATTTTGAGACGCAAATCACGAAATGTCTTGTAGATTGTATCTACGTAAATATATGTATATTGTATTAAATTTTATGCACGAGATTATATTCGCACAATGCAGTTATGCAATACATATCAATGAAAAGCTAACGAGATTAATAATTAATAATTAATTAAAGATTAAAGCAAATTTTGTAATTCTATCCTTTACCAAATAAACCTTCTAATACAAGATATTTTTATTTCTGCAGCCTATCAATCTCTCTTAAATTTACATCTGAAATTCAAATAAATTACATCTCTCGTTAAATAAGAAATATAAATAGTAAATTTGAAATATATAACTATAATTCAGGCAAACTAATGAAAAATCTGTTAAAAAACTGAAACATTTTTTTCTCTTTTTTAATGAAGGCGTTATTATTAAATTCCTTCAATCAGCACCTATTCCTGCATTCGTTTACGAATGAAAGTATCATTTAATTCTTGTTTAACACTCGGCGAACAATAAGGATAAAATAATACTTTTGCGCTAACCGCTGCGTAAACGAATGCATCCATGATGTAAGAAGACAAGAGTTGCGTTCGCTTTTGCGCTCACGACGCTTGTGAGCATTAATTGTTTTTGTTTAATATTTAATAAGCAACAAGGATGAAATGATCCTTAAAACGTTGTGTGTTCGCCAAAGCGAACACAGTCTAGCGAGTACCACTGTTGCATTCTCGAGGATGTGCAGTGGTTTAAAGTAACGTCTGCTCTCCGATCAATCAGAGTTCGCCCTCAAATGCTAAAAAGCAACATGGCTTCTTCCATGCATCCATGCAGTTTAATTGTCAAAGAATAGATTGATGAGGCCAATTAAAATTGAAGAAAAAGAAAGAATATTGGATCATATTAGTACTATCTATTTAGTTTGCAGAAATGCCAGTGCGTTGTGTAAAATATTGTACTAGTCGCACGTCTTATCATTTTCTAAGAAAATGAAAAATGTTAAATTTCTTTGATTTCCTAAGGTCGAAATTATTCGTCAACAATGACTTCAAGTCAGTCAAAGAACAAAAATAGATATAAAAGTTGATGCGGCTAAAATTGATATAATTAATTAAACATTTGTTAGTTTGCAATATGTAGATATATATACACAATACGGATAAAGAATTTTTTGAAACGATCAAAAGCATATTTGTAAAAACTTTGAATGTCAAAATACTTTTTCAATTTTATGTTGAATAATATATAATAATATACAGCATATATTATACACAGAATAATATGCACATATATTAACGTACAGTGATGGTCATGAAAATAGAGTCGGCACGTATATAAAAATTTATAAAATAGTTATTTTGTTTATCTATATATCTTCTTGCCGGTAATGTTATTTATTGTACATACAGTAGCAACAGTTCATATCAATTAAAAAACATAAACTATTACTGAAATAAGGTGCATGTCGTATTGCAAGAATCCTAAAGTGTTCTGTGCTGCAAGTCTGGTCATAATAATAAAGCCTAATTATTAATATAAGTTTATTAACATAAAAAAAGTTTGTTAAATATAATGTTAATAAACTCACATTTTAAGAAACATTAATAATTTTGTTTTACGACACGTAACGTGTTACTTTTTAAAATGAGTAAATGGTAACGATAACGAATTATTTTTAACAAAAAGTAACTGTAACGGTAACGCGTTATTTTTCCCAACTCTGTATATATTGTTCCCAACTCTGCACATACACAGTTTTTTAGAACACTATTAATAATCTGATCTTATTATGCCGTTTGAATCTCGCGCAACATTTGGGGGCAAAATTTGATTGGCGCTGCTCCAGTATTCAGTCGCCATTATGCGCAATGATACACCTTACAGAAAACAGACCACTTGTTTTCTTATATCATGGTATGGGTGATGCGAGTTGATGCTGGTTGATCACGGTTGATGCGAGTTCACTGGGTGTGGCGAGGGTGAGGTGCGGTGACGAACGACAACAATTGTAAACGAACGACTTGTACAGATCAGTTAGTTTCACGTTGGCCTTTCTAAAAGGTCACCATGACGGTGGATAAGCAAGATTATCACAGAGCGTCCAGTGAGTAATTGATTAAGTCAATCAGCAGAGCGATTATCTGAAATAACCTGTACTAATTGTCTTTCGTTTTCATTGATAGACGCGGTCGTTTTCGGTGGAGGACTCTCGTTCATGGCACTCTTTCTCTTAATGATGGCCTTCATAAGGTAAACATACCTTCAAGCAATTGTTATAAGTAACTAACAATCTCAAATTGACTTGAAACATATGAAAACAATGTTACTGATCCTCTCCATAATTTCCAGTCCGTATTGGATAGAATCGTATCAGGAGACGTTCAACAGCTTTAAGCACATGGGACTTTGGGAATATTGCTTCGAGCAATTCCGTTATCCCTATTATCAGTTTGACAAACAATTCAACGGCTGTCATCATATATTTTCACAAGAATATTATGTCATAAGAGAGTGGCTGCTGCCAGTATGGCTCATGGTAGTGCAGACATTTGTCACATTGGCCTTAATGCTGTCCATCTCTGCCTTCATTGTAATTGCCTTGATTTGGACACGTTGGCCGTTGAGATTTGTCCTGCATTATGAATGGCTTCTGTCATCCGTTGTGTTTGTATGCAACGCAGCTGCTGGTAAGTATAAGAGTTTTTTAAGTTAAAGATAGAAGATACCAAATATTCTTTAATCCGGTTACTTTTTAATTTTAGGCGTGCTTCTCTTTCTGGCAGTCTCTATATTCGGTGGACAATGCTGGCGTCGGGATTGGTTAATGTATCCGAATTTCAATCACTTGTCGTGGTCATATGGTCTTGCTGTCATATCATTCATGATCCACACGTTTGCCGCATTCTTTCTTTATTTAGACGCGCGGACAGGTTACAGACTACGCAAAGAGTCTCGTAACTTGGTGATGCAGATGCAGCCGAATCCACAATCTCAACACGCCCCGCCAAGCCGAAGCGGATACGTATAAAGTAATCTCAAATCGTGCTTTTGGCGAAAAATTTAATTTCCATATAAATTCTTATCGTTATTTTTAATGAAGAAACAAAAGATGAGATCTGTCTCTTAAGAAAGACTGTACACCATCTGTGTACAATATTCATCCGTCCATTTAATTTGTTCGTTAAAAATAATAGTAAAAGCTTTATACATATATATAAAAGCTTTATATATATTTTAAGAAGTTAATTTTCAGAGTTGAAAGTTATAAGCAAAGTAATATACGGCGATCTGTTTCAAGAATCTACATTTCATTTATATTTAATTTAATTTGTATTTAATTTAAAAAGGATAAACACATGTGTGTGTCGCCTTCTCTCGAGCTAATTAACTTACATTCAATTTTCTTTAAACTAATTCGCTTGCGTGAATAATATCCGCCCGTTGTTATACTCACGTGCGCACATTATTTTTTTTATCATATTTTTATATATATATTTTATACATTCTATGTAGAATACGTATAATATAATAGAATTATATTATTTGACTTACAAATGTATAGGAAATTAATAAATGAAGACATATTCTTTTTCGTGTGTGTGTTGTGAACGAAACGACAGTAAATTATTGTAGAAGTTTTCACTCACCTGGAATATTCGCTTGCGACGCAACATCGAGCACGTAACGCATGACGTCCAATTCGAAACTTGTGTCGAGAACGATGAAACTTGCTTTTTCGAGATGCGACTGATACTCTTTTATCAACTTCGGGGTAATCAAAGTGAAGCATTCCATTTCGCTAATGTAGAAGTGACATTCGCCATTAACGTCCACTATCACCGTCATCCTGTAATATTAGCGATAATTTATCAAATACGAATGGATCTGCTGATATTCGGATAATCAATTTGTCGAATTATCTTATTAAATTCGGATATTACTTAAAAGTGGATATCCGAACAATTCGAATCTGCACATCTAAAGAGATGAATTTATTGGAATCTGAATTTGTTAATTTGTATTCTTAAGTACAGCAAATTAGACAATTGGAAAGCAACGTTCTCGTTTCTTTCCTGGTCTTAGCTGATTCTAAAAGTGTTATTTTCCCTCATAGCTAAAAATATCGTTATAATCAAAAGAAGCTATTATCCAAGCATGTCAACATTTACAAATTCGTAATTGTATAATAATATTATCGAGTAATTTTGGATAATAATTATTTTAGCTAATTTGAATATATTATACTGTCTAGATATTTATATAGTCTTGTATATTGTTCAACGGAATTATTGGACAAGTTCTTGCCGCCGAATACTCGTTAACGAAGCAAGATTACGACTCGTACTTTGCGGTGTCCACGTCTGACATGCGTTTCACTATCTCGCCTCCGACTCCTAAGCTCTCGAGAATGATTTTCCCGTGCTCGTCGTCGCCAACGATGGACATTAAACGCGTATTTTCCAAACCAAGCTTGAGTAGTGCATCAGCAACGTTTCGACCAACTCCGCCGCAGCTTCGTCTACTTCGTCCGGTATGCGTTCTCCCGTCATTCTGGAAATGAATCGCTCTCTTCAGGATTATTCGGACTCTACGTGAATTCTGTTAGACGATTAATCGATTTTACATGTGGAAGTTATATTTTCCGTATGACAAAGAGGGAGGAAAAAATGTAAAGATTAAAACCATAAAAATTCTCTTAAGTTTTAGTAAAGAAGAAAATGTTTTAAGAAAAGAGAGCATGTTGTAGAAAGAGCAGATCTACACTCTTTGAGGAAGTTAGCCCTTGGGGCTATAAAGGAGTGTTTACTTTGGGTATATCTGTTTTGCTCCAGCTTGTAAAAATGCAATTAAACGTGGAGTATTCGCTCCAGGGTCGTACAGCTGAGAGAGAGTGCTTAAGGGAAGTATGCAAAATCCCATCCCTGTGATACTCAAGTTGGCATATAGTGTTTACCCTTTCCATTCTCTTCTCTCCGTTCCTATATCTTGGTATACAGTATAACTGGTGCCTACGTATCTCCGTTCTATACTTTCTTTCTCTCTCTTTCTCTCTCCCTCTCTTTCGCACTTCTACATCCGGTGGTAACATATGGCTGGACATTTTTATCTCTCCACCTCTTCCTTCCACCTCAGCTCTATTTCTACGTATCAACGCTGTGCTTGGGGATGCGCGTACCCTCCCACGAGAGAGACCTTATCGGTCAGACCTATTTCCCGCGACGACAGTGCTCCGTCTCAGTCTCGTGAAACAAGACCGTCTTATCTATGCCCTTTTGTGGCATAAAATAGTGGTATTGGAATACGAATTTATTCTTTGTGACGGCTAGCGCGGTTACTGGATCGAAGCGGAGCCCACTTCGTCCACCTCCGATCGTCCGCCCTTGTACACTCCCTTCGCGTGTCTTCCCTCTATCTATCAGTTTGCCTTGCGACGGTGGTGGCAGAGTCTCTTCAATCCTCGTGCCAGTCTGGTTGCCTATTTCGGGCGCTGTTCATGGTGGTGAACACCCCCGTGGTTCACGTACCCCCGGGTGCCCCCTGTTCTCTGTGCCGACAGAGTATAGAGAAAGAAAGAGAGAAACCGCAAGATAGACAAGGGATAGATAGGTAAAGAGAGCCGCGCGTGTCCGCCTGGAACATCCATCTCATGCGTCAGGCGCGCGGGGCGAGAAGCGTCGGGCGTCGTGGCCGCGGCGTCGCGGCGACGACGACGACGACGACGACGACGACGCTCAGTCGCGCGCACGAGCTCTCGACTCTGCGTGATCAGTGGCAGTGAGAGGCAGCGCGTCGCGTCGCGTCGCGCCGCTCCACGAAGCGTCGTGCGAGCGACATGCGCTACGGCTGGCGGCGGCCTTGTCAAGTGTCGACTGTGACCAGGAGGACGGGGACGAGGCCGAGGCCGAGGCCGAGGACGAGAACGAGAACGTCAACGGCGACGAAGACCAGGACAACGAAAACGGGAATAACGCCGGTAACGAGGAACCCGGGAACAAAGGCGACGACGTCGAGGTGCTGGTGGTGAGAGGCGTCACGAGGTGTACGGGACGCATGACGAGGAAACACGGGCGACTGGCATGAACGACGACGTCGTGGACGACGTTGCCGAGGAGGACTCTCGCGGCGATGCCCGTGAAGGAAGCGCTACGGGCACTACGACGACGACGAAGACGACGACGATCGCGTTCCTCGTACTACCGGCCCGACTGATGACACCCGGCCGCAGCGATTCCGCAGCGGTCTCGGCGAACAAGATCGCGCCTCCGCAATCCGCGTGCACATAGGCTGGTAATCGGCATTAAGAAATTTGCGTCGTAGAAAGCGCGATCCTCGAAGTGATCACAAGTGACGAGCCGCCCGTGGCGTTTTCTCGTCGAACCTCAAGAAAGATTTCTCAAAAATTTCCTACTTCTCTGACTGAGAGTTTCACTTCCGTGCAAAGTAGTCGTAGACGAAGAGGATCAATCGGCCCATCGAATGGGATCGCTTTCCTCGGAAAGACTTTCTTTCCTCGTGTATCTTCCCCTGAAGAAAAGGTCTCTTCCTAAAGGACACAAGAATTAGAAGGACCGAGACCTTCCTTCGCAAGAGAAAGCACGCTCCTTGACATCGAGCGTGCCTTTCCTCCGGAAAAGTCCTACGCAGAGGTATCTAGTTGATCGAATAAGCCGGGTCAACGCGAACGGTGTATTTCTTTGCGAAATAACAATTGTGTCCCCTCCTCCTCCGAGCCTTCATCGAAGAGACCGCGTTCGCTATGGTACCGAAAGAAATCTTGGTGAGATTCGATAGCAATTTGAAAAGCGTGCTCGAGCATCCGAGGGTGCCACGCGTTGGATCCACGCCATCCCGACCGACAAACCGACACGATTGGCTTGCTGATCGGTAGAGCCTGTGAGAGAGAGAGTTCGCGTGTGGCATTCCCTGTTTTGCATGCGGTGAAAATAGGACGAAGCGTCGTAGCGAGTAATGATAAATTCCTTCGGGAAGGTCGGGAGGAAGATTGCATAACACCACGTTCCCTCCCTACATCCATTGCCACCCTCTTCCTCCCCTTCTCCTGCGCGCGCGCGTATTTCCTCGTCGTCCTTTTTCTCCCTCTGACTTTTCGCGCCTCCTCTTCAGAGATATGTCTCACCTCGTATATCGAATATCTAATTAAAGGTTGGCCGATAATCTTTTTTTATCACGTCTGTCCCCGCTCAGTAAGACGTATGATAGCCCCGTCTCCTTGTCCCTCGCTCCGGCATCCGGCGTTGGAAAAGGATTGCACATTGCACGCGACATCGATCCGCGCACGCCTCTTCTCTCTCTCTCTCTCTCTCTCTCTTTCTCCTTCGCTCTCCTTTTTTTTCCTTCCGTGGGATTATGTAAAGCAGGCAGTACTGGACGCCGGCCAGGACATTGACTGCTCGTCTTCGTGACGTTGGGAATTGTTTCTCCGTTAAGACGAAAAGAGAGGTAACCGCGCGCTGTCGATGCCTCTTTCTCTTTCTCGTGTTCTCTCTCTCTCTCTCTCTCTCTCTCACACTTTTTCTCTCTTATATGTGTTTCTCGTTCGAGCCGTGTGTCAATGTGGAGCGCGCGCTAACGCGCAGGGTTTAAACGATCGATGGGCCCTTACCGTTCTCTCGCTCTTCCGTGTTTTCATTACAATGCGCCACTCGCATTACTCGCATATACTCGTGGCGGCCTGTCCACATGCATGCATGCAATGCGAATGCCGATGCACGAAAACGAGAGCATGCTTTGGCGCATTGCCCTGGCCGAGCCGATGCATGTCCGTGTTCGCGACCCTGACGAGGACAATCTCGGGACGATCCGTGTATCCCGCATGTAGAGAATCTTTACCGAGAATCTTTCGCATGTATTACAAAAGCGGCGATTTTTCTCATCTTTAAATTCTTCGAAGTGGAATCTCGCTCTAAAAAGTGAACTCTCACTTTTCAAGAATGATAATTTTGCCAATCTTGACAAAAGAAAAATATCACTTTAGAAAAAATTTAGAAAATTCTGTCACTGAAACTCTCTAATTCTCTGAAGTGGAATCTCACTGTTTTAAAAGAGTGAAAATTGTGCCACTCTTTAGAGTGAAATTTCACTTCGAAGAATTTAAAGAGTTTTCCTTTCTTCTTTACACTTTGCTTCCTACTTTCGAAACTATCCCTCTGATATTTCATCCCCTTTATTCAGCCCTGCCTCATCGTGATTGTATATATGCCTCTTCGCAATTCGTCAGATAGGGTTGTCTCTGCGGTTCTTCCGATGGCTCGCCGAGCCGGCGAAGCTTCGTGCCGATATACTCACTCAGGCGCATATCCTCTCTCTATCTCGCACGATTTATCTCTGTCCCTCCTCGAAGAGAAGCTACATAGAGCTAGGCGGCGGAGGATCGATAAATAGAATCGCCTATCGCACGCTACAACTGTCAGAAAGAAATACAATCCGCCGAGGTGCACGCTAGCCTCCTCCCGCCGTTGGTTTCAACTTGGAAACGCACGCACGTTGAATTCCGTTGAATGCCCGCGCCTCCCTCCCCCCTTCTGCAAGTCCCCTTTTAGATCGAGTCATCTACGGATAAAGTGAGAGAGAGAGAGAGGGGGGGAGAGAGAGAGAGAATTTCAAATTGCGCGGTATGGTGAACAAGCGGAGGAAGATCCAAGATCGAAGATCAAATCGAAAAGCTTTGGATCCTAAAAATCGTGAAAAAAAGTTCGACTAGCGCAAGACAGATTCGAGGACGTATATCTGTTAGGAATATATCTCTCATATGTTTTTTTTTCATGTACTTCTGTTTTTCTGCACAGGAGAATCGTTAATCGTTCCGGTAGCTGAACACCGAAGACCGTCATTGCGGTGAACGACGACAGGTGCGCGTGACACGAGGGGGACAACCATGAACGTTAGCACGAACGACCTTCCGGTGTGGCGATGCAGCACGACGTGGCTCGCGTGACTCGCGCCGGTCACGAGTAAAGAGGATCGGTCTCCACCTTTAGCCACCACCCTCCTCGCGTAATACCGCGGCGGCGGCGACGGCGGCCCCCACCACCACCACCATCACCACCACCACCAACGGTACAACGCGCTGGCCCGTCTCTCCTATTCAACCCCCCGCGAACGCGGGGTACAATCCTTACGACGAGGACACGCACACCAGGGTGGCACGATAGTATGACGGTGATGCTGCTGCAACGTTCAGTCACCCCGCAGTCGACGCACAGCCAAAAGACAGCGACGAAGGACTGCAGCGCGAAGCCGCCCTTTCTCTTTCTGCTGGACGACCGTGAGGAGCATCGGCACTCGACCGATACCAACACCACGACTACTACAAACAACAACAATAACAACAATAATAACAACAATAACAATAATAACAATAATAACAACAATAACGTCAACAACAACAACAACGTTTTCAAAAGAGGCGACCGGAGTAACAGCCGCGATCACGTCGCCGACGAGGCGCCGTCGTCGGTGACGTCCCAACGACTCGCCGACGGTGGTGAGGACGTCGCGATGCGATATTACCGCCTCTGGATCTACGCCTGTAACCTGGTGCTGTTCGGTAGCGCGATCGGCTTTGCCGCCGCGGTGTCGCAGACCCTCCTGTTCACCGGCGACCCACGTCGGCACGTGGTGCCGGGTGTACCTCGCGTCTACGACCCCACCGCGCTCTACGGCTATCTGGCACTGACGGCGCAGTTGGGCCTGGTGCAATTACTCGGTTGCATCGCCGCCAGACGGCTCAGCGCCCGGTTACTCCACGTCTACTGGATATTACTGCTGATACTGCTGTTCGGCGACGCCGTCGTCGGCGTCGCCTGGATCTTCCGTTTCGAGAAAATGCGCGCCGACCTCAGACCCACGCTCAAACTACGTTTGCAGGTACGCCATCGAGTTATCGTGGGGTTTCCCCTTGTGGTTCGAGGGTTCCCGTACCCCGATTCTGTAACTTTTAAGTTCGGTACCGTTATACTGTTGTTGGCGGCGTTGGCGCAACTTTTTTTACCGTGTATATCTGCGCGATGACAATACAACGATACCGATACTGTCATTAAGAGTATAGAATCGGGGTACAAGCTGGCCATTACGTCAGAAGCGGAAAAACATAATAAGCTTTTTCTCTCGTCGTGTGTATCGAAATAGATTAGTTTCTTGCACGTTAAAGCTCGTATTTCATAGATCTATGAGATATACCAAAAAAACTCTCTTCGGTTCGTCGACTAGGGAGTAGCTATCTATAGATTGACTTGTATTGTCATTTACTACAAGTAGGGGGTTTTCACCTTAGTGATGACGTAGAAATCAATTTGTACCGATATACGGCGTGAAAAAGAATTCATTCGACTTTTCGGTTCTTTGACCAAGATCAACTCTGGGATTCTACTCTTAACGACAGTGTCGATATTATTATATTGTTGCGCAAATATTTTTTATCATATATATTATTTAATATCTACGCTACGATAATGCAATACGCTAAAAGTTACAAAATTCCAATGTTGAAACCACGGATTTCCGTTACCGATAGATTAACACTAGAACTGCGGGTTTAAATTAATCCAATCGCGGTTCAAGATAAATCTGGATTTTTACAAGGCAGAGTTGTCACCATAAAAGTAAAACTACTTGCAATTAATTATGATTATTTACAAAAAATCTAAAGCTTCACGTGAAAATTTAAATTACCTGGAAAAGAAAGAATTATCACAGATTGGTCAAACGGTACAGCTGCTGTTCTAGTGTTAACGCAAACCGTGAACTCGAGGTGATGATTTCTTGCCCGCAGGTGGACTATGATAAGGAGATGCGATTCAGCGAACAGTGGGACCGACTTCAGCGGGAGTTCATGTGCTGCGGGGTGACCGGACCCAAGGATTTCAATCACCGTGACAACTGGCCACTGACCTGCTGCGGGCCCAGCGTTAACATCAGTGAGCCCTGTCAGAACCCATACATGCGCGGCTGCGAGGAGACGCTCGTACGCTGGCTCAGGAAGACGGCGGACCTACTGTTTGTCCTGGGCTTCTGCGTCATCGCCTTCGCCAAGCTCTGCTTTCTCGGCATCCTACGCTACGAGATACGGGAAATGATACAGAAGATACGAATGCTGAGGGAACCGCCGCCGCCGGCCACGCCGTTCGCGCAACCGCCCTTTTCCCAGGTGCTGCCGGAAACAGCCAACAACGGCAGCATAGTGAGACGCACAACGTTACCTAACACTGTTATGCCTTCCGGTATGTTTCAGTTTGAAGTAATTCCTCTTTGTGAAAACAATGTCGACGATCTGAATCAATTAACGCCGAAACTTGACGATACGTTACCCAGATTTTAGCTCCTAATCATTAGTATTGTGTTAGAACGGAGTCTTTATATATATATATCAGATTTGAATAATAAACAACTATTTGAATATGATATATGTACACTGTTAGAAATTTCTCAATGAATTTTAATTAACATGTAAAGGAAGCATGTGGTTATGTACGAAATTAAATGTAATGAATGATGTAAATAAAAACTAAATTACAGTAGTCTTAAATGTGATGAACGTGTGTATTGAAATTAATGAACACATTATTGTAGAAATTAATTTACACGTTAATGAAAAGTACGAGATCTGTAACTGAAAAGTAATTTACGTTAATGATATATAAGAAACGTAAACGTATTAAACGTTAAGCGTTAATAGTATTAGGCTTAATTAAAATATTATTAGTATTTGTAAATGTAAAAGTACATTAAATTTTATTAATATGTACATTAATAATTATTTCAATTACGATTAATTAAATGTCATTTATAAAAGTATATTAAATTTCATTACACTTAATTTTTCAGTTACTGTAAACTTAAATTTCATTAACATGTGCATTAATAGTCCTTTCAGTTACAGAGAAATTAAACTTCATTCACCAATGTACATTAAAAGTTAATGAAATTTAAGAACATTTCTAACAGTGTATGTACTAATCACTTTTTACCAATATTCGAATATCGACTGTAGTATCTATTATAGAATAGAGGTAGAAGCTTAATAACCATCTGAATCTTAATAATCCAATAAGAAAGGACAGTTTTGTTTAAGTATCTATAAATTTAGCTAGATACAGATCTGAAAATAAATTTATTGGAGCATCAAAATAATTTCAAGCATGATGAGAAATGCTATAAAAAGTAAGTTTTAGCATACTATAGCAACTAGTTTAAGCGTTCTACATAATTAATTTGATGGTCCAAAATTATATTCAGATTTATAGATACATTTTTAGATATTTTAGCAAAATCGTTCTTTTCCTGAAGGATTTGATTTTTTGAAGGAAGAAAAGAACTATCATCCTTTGATTCGTTTTCAGGCAACGCGTCGGTGTTGCTACAGTCGGACGAATGCAACACCGGCCGGCATCCTCTGTTGGCGAACAATCTGCAGGACGGTGGTGCTGACAGCGATACAAATAGCCACTGCGCGCTAATACTCGAGGAGACGACACCTACCTCGACGAACAACCACAATTGCGCGGCCGGCGGCGGCCGTGAGAAAAGCAACGGTAACAACAACTACGAGATGCGTGAGTTTAACCGCAGGCTGTTGCTGTCGAACGGTACCAGCCCGGGCACAGGCGTGACCGTAACGAGCGGTCAGAGTAGACGCACCTGACTATGGAGATGGTGGCGAAGCACCCAGAACCGTTTCCTGTACAGGAGCAATCGGCGGCGCGCCGACATACCGCTATACAAGTAAAAGTACGACAAACTCTTTGTCATACGTTTCAGTTTCTTTTTTAAGAAAATTACACATACATCTAGCGAGCTACTAGCTGGCGCGAGTCCAACGCGGACGGTGTGATATACCTAAGGAAACGTCGCCGCCGCCGCCGTCATCATCGATGTCGTCGTATCGACGAAATCGGTGAAAGTGAAGAAGGTTGACAATGGCTGCGTAGCTCGTCTTCTATAGTCATCCCTACTTCTCACCCTCGAGGTCTTATCGCCGATAGTGCGCACAAACGTAACACCGAGGGAAGACTGCGGCGACGGATGACGTTGACGGCACATGAGAGACCAAGCATTCACGAATCGATATCACGGTGGGACTTTACAATTATTAATGAAAGAACCAAATCAAAACATATATAATAGTGCGAGAGAGGTAGAGAGAGAGAGAGAGAGAGAGAGAGAGAAAGAGAGCTATCTCCATTTTTGTAAGGCAAAATTCATGAAGGAGCGTTTAAATTCGCCAAGATCACGACGCGAGAGTGAAACTCCCCCAATCATCTTGCGCGATTCAGGGGTGAAAAAAAAAAAGAGAAGAGAGCGCAATCCGAGGCTGGAACGTCGTTGCCCTATGATTCCTTAAAACGAGCGGCGAGCAACTCACCCCGCGTGAAAGACAGTTCGAAGAAACCATTCTATTTACGGCCCGTACTCTCGTAGTCGTATGCTAATTTCGTCATCGTCGACGTCGAACTATAGAGGGTAGGTGCACGCTAATTTTAAATGGCCGTTAGAAACAACTTTCTTTAGTCTCCGGACTTTTACAGAATAAATCCGCCGCTTTTCCACGCGAGCTTTCACTGTGTTTGTGCGCGCGCGTCCCTAGCCGCGGTGGCTACATCGTCGGGTTGTTCATTAACTGCCCCGAGCTCTCCTCGCAAGTATACACCTTGCATATACATGCCTTACTGTCCTCGCATAATCGGTGTGCATAACTACTTTTGCAGATTTTATTTTTAGTCGTGAAACTTTCTTACGTTACCCATCCGAATAAAGCCGTCATCGATCGTGTCATCAGTGTACCCGGGATATCGTCCGTCGTGCTGTTTCTCATTTGAAGATAAACTCCACGCCGGTAGTATGTCACAGTCGAATGTAACTATCGTCGCCTATAAATGACACACGAAGCTCTTGTTCCCGTTGGATCTTCGTAGAATTGTTTCTGGACCGACAATTCTGTTGAGTTAATTAAAGACTCTGAGCTAGTAATCAGATATACTTCGTGGATCGTGTTTCTGTCTGGCAAAACATTATCTTGACGATGTATCTCCTTTCTATCTCTATGTTATATGTCGCAAAGATATCTCTCTCAAAGATCTCGTAGATATTCATTTTATCTTTTGAATCCACATCATGGATATTATTATACCACTATTAAAAAAACAGAAGCAGCGAATTTAGTTGACCGACGTTAATCAATCTTTTCTATCACAACTACTTGAAGAATAGTTATGATTCAAAACTTGTTAACTTCCGCGACTTTTGTTCGACTTGAGGAAACTATATCTTTGCGACTTCACGTTTGACTCTCTTAATAATGCAAACAACTTGTATTTGTCCAGACGAGTGAATTAGGCTTCACAGTACCGTCTAATCAGCTATCGTATCTCGCGACTACGTTTATTAAGTTCTGTAATGATTCTTACGAGATAATTACGATAGTTACGGAAGAATATTGTGAGATACTACTGCCAAATTGATGATCCTCCTACTCTTCTCTGACAAGATAAATGTACGTTTAGACAAACTATTCTTGAGCGACAAGAATTTGCTTAGTTTCCTCCTTAATAACGTTAATAATATAACAGAGAACGAAAGAACGAGGAAATGAGAGGGAAAGAGAGATTTCCGATGTAGGCGATGATTAAATAATTTCTAATCGCTTTTACATAAACATCTAAAAGATACGCGTCATGCAAGTAGCTTGTACCGATACGTTCCTTGTAATTACACCATCATTATTGAACTAAGATAAGTATGGACCGGAGATATTTCATTCAATGTTTCAAACTATTTTCCCTTTTTCTTTTCGCACGCCTCATACGCCACTCCGGTGTCCCAATAATTGAGATCCGTCTTATAAGCGACAAAGACGTAGCGTAACACTCGAAATAATTGGCTTCCTAGCTAGGATTAAAGGAATCTTAGGGTTATACATTTAATGGGGATGCAATGATAACGGATACAAATACTATAGTAGGCTGTATATACCGGCATAGATAATAAGTGTCGATCGTCTGCTTAAGGAGAAACCGAGATATTATCTGTTAATTGTTCGAACGCACGTCTCCGCCGATGTCACAAAATGAGACGCTTTACGTTAATCCTATCTGTCGCAGTTGAATTTACGTGTTTCGAAAAAAATCTGGCGTTTTACATGTCCAAGTATAATTACGCTAGTCTGGAAAACAGGGTAATTATTAATCTCAAACGGTTGCCTGATCATCTTTGGGCCACTATTAGCGAAGTAGAACATTTGTGTGTGTCGCCAAGTAAGATAATTGACTCCTTTCGTTTTCTCCAGGTAAGAAGAGATTTTTTTGCCGACCACGTGCAAGTTCAATCATTCTTTCTTAATCAGACCATCGAATTATTGTTGAATGTAATAATAATGTGAAAGCTTACACCTCGCAGACACACAGCCTCTGCCACTAAATGTATATAAAGATGTTATATACAGAAGATAGAGAGATGTTAATCGTTTTTTAATTAATTAGGCGAAAGAAAATACATTCGGAAAGAAAAAAAAAAAATCCATACGAAACTTATATATCGACTTCGGAGAAACGAGATACTTGAATTCACTTCGGTTGTTGTATCAATGTATCATCTATTAGAAAAAAAAAAACAGCGAAAGATTTTAGGCGTTTATATTTTATTCGGTCGACATTTCCTGATGTTATAACGTACAACCACACTGCAAGAAAAACTTCAAAGTTCAAACGAGCATAGCGATTTATATGAAGATTGGTATTTAAATGTAATATATACAAATTGAAGTGGAAGACGTGCGGGGAGCTTTGAATAGTGCCTGCTTAAAATCCGATTTATTATATATCTCAAACAATTAGGTATGGTTGAACAATTAGTCGTTTGCGACATTGCACGTTGGATCTGAATCCGACAGATCGATCAACAGGAAGCAGTGTCTACAAAAATGCGATCCATTTTTTATTAAAATAAGAAAGAAGTAGATAAGAGTTTATATAGCCTGCGTTATCTTTTCTAATATCAAACAATGTCGCTGAACAGATTTACCTAAATAAATATTCTATCTCATTGAATGTTGCTGAAAATATCTAACGATAATCAAGATATGTTCGCACAAATGATAAAGAAAAGACCGATTTTCTATTAAATCGCATGGCTTCTTGATCAATCGATCCGTTTCCAGGTGTGCGATGTCGCAAATGAGATATTTCATAGAGTGATCGTAGCGCGATATCGAAAGAAAAGTATGCACACTTAAAAGCTTTGACTACCTTAATATTGTATAAAGACGACACATACGCGATGAAGAAAAAAAGAGTGTATCTAAAGACTGTTAGTGAAGAAGAGCGAACACGAAATAATTAACACGTAGTTACAAGCTACAATCGAGCTCAATAGCGTGTTTACGTTAATGAACCTCTCATAATATCGTATCGACAAGCTTGCGTCTGTATTTAATTTACGTTACGGGGATACGCCGCCGGTTTCAATACGGCCGTATTTCATAGGTTTGCTATTCTATAAAGCGTTTGTTAACATACACCATAATCTTCCCCTGTTCTACGCGAGATTTCCCATTATTTGATTAAGTGTACATAAAAAGATAAAAAAAAGTGGTAATTGTATATAAATACTGTTACTGTTCTACAAACTATATTATGTAATATGAATATATAAGAAAAAAAATTGGTTATTTAGTATAACTTTGATTGTGAGATTTTTGACTTACTTTTATTTGGGGATCCTTCACTTGTAGGACAGTATCCACTACTGACGCGCCAATAACCACCTGAATAAGACATTAGTTTAAGTATACTTCAAGTAGAGATAGTGGAATGACTTGTTTATATATATATAACGCTGTGTCAGTTTTAAATGTTATGATAAAGCGTATTGATAAGATAACTTCTCACGCTTCTTAATATATTTTAAGTCTATTTTCAAGAATAATTTTACGTTCTTTTCGGACTTACCGGTTTTTGTCTTGATATTATTGATGGTACAGAAGTAGAGCTTATATAGGCTGTCTGAGATTTTTCACAGAGATTCAAGGCGATTTCAGCTGCGACCTTGGCATTGTTTTCTATGAGAGCTATATCTAAAATTTTCATAAGCCAAATGTTTTAAATATAATAATTACATTTTACCGCATTTTATCTCGCAATTAATTTCTATTCACTCACTCGCTTCAAGTGACTGACCACGCGTGATATCGTTGAGTTCACTTAAAAGGAATGGCGTAACTCGCTTGCCCGTTATGCGCATAGCATTAGCTTTCTTTAAAGCTTCAGATATAGCAGCATCCATGACACTAGGCTGCAATGCATATTTTTCAGGAATGGGGACTGCAAATAATATCCCTGTGTTAATACCCAGTACTCTCTGTGTCTCCACAATACCGGCTGCTTCCTTGGCATTGGAGATTCTGCACGGTGCTTTTATTTTGTCTGAAGTTTCAGAACAGTGGAAAGCTGGAAATTCTGGCGTTTCGCCTATTTTTATGACCGGTACTCCCTGAGTTTCCTGCGAGCATAAAATCCGTATTTTTATGTCAACTTCTGGAAACAAAAGGGATATTACTTTGTATGAAACGTAGAAATGATTACATATTCATATCTATCAAATCTTCAAGTATATCTACCAAATACTCCAAGGTCTTGCCAATGTCCAGGATAGATTTGACACCAGAGCAGACAACTGCCACCGGTGTGCGTCCAAGTTCAATTAGATCGGCACTGATGTCAAGAGTTAGCTCAGCTCCCCTGTGAACACCGCCGATACCACCTGTTGCCATTATTGGAATACCAGCTGCATGTGCAATTAACATTGTGCCACTGACTGTTGTACCACCATTCAATCCTTGTGATAGAATGAAAGAAATGTCCCTTCGTGAACACTTTATGGTCTTTGCAGAGTCAGCTTTAGACAAGATCTCCAGTTGTTCATTGTTCAAGCCTACATGTATCTTGCCATTTATGATTCCTATTGTTGCAGGTACGACATCCTGAAATAAGCAAAAAGTTTGTCTACTATTGTTCACAACATTATTGTTCAATCGTGATAGATAACTTTCAAAGCTACATCCACAACTCACAATATATTCAATATTAACTTAAAAATTTTTTTTATTTTTGAAAATATTCAAACAAATAACTCTTGTTTTATCGATAATCAAAAAGACCTTTCAATTATGGGGACACTCCTAAATTTCAGTTATTTTATATTACTGGGTGCTTCCTAGCAAGAGACATAGATAACATAGTGTGACACAATGATTCAATTACTTCTCAATGTTTAACAAAGATGAATTGATCACTGTATGTTTCTTGCTGGAAAGCACCAACTGACTGTTCACCCTGGAAAAAAGAACGTCATGGATGTCATACAAACTTGCTTTCTGATTGCGTCTTCGACTTTCAGTGCGGTGTCCAAGTTATCTGGATACGGCATGCCGTGTGTGATGATCGTCGATTCTAATGCCACGATAGGTAGACCGTGTTTTCGAGCCGCCGCGACGTTCGGTCCATAGACAAGCGAATTCCGACCGGCGATCGATCTCCAATGGATCGGCGGCACGTTGGACCTCCTGCATAATTTTCCTAGGAGGTCACTTAAACGGAATCGATGCATATCGAGATAAACAAACGCTTGAACGAATATGTAGAGTACTTTTGACGCGAGCTTCTTTCAACTTCTAGATAAGACAAACGGATGAAAGTAATCGCGACAATCAAATCTTATTTGAAACGAATTGAGATAAACCGATTAGCTACAAGTGCCGATACGTAGCGAGCGAACGGTACTTTATTCCACCGTGTGAATTTTATATAATGTCGATGGCATTGCTTCATTTTTCTTCCATTTTTATCGTTGTATAATAAGATCGATAAAGATCCTTATCCGATGTTGACGTCTGTCTCTCGATTGTATGACCGGCAGCCATACAAAATTGTTCCCTGTAGCTGCACCGTAATATACCTTGAATGCGCTTAAAATGAGATAGGTGTATGATTTGATATTAAAGAAAAAACAGAGAAGATATAAATTTCAAAAATGAAAGATTTGAAATTTTTGTAAATTCGATGTGTCACGATTATTCTACGTATAAAATTGTTTATGTTTGACGATCAGGACACGTGCGTGCGCGTCTAGTTCATGAATAGAGAATCGGGATTTGTGCGTCGCGAACAGCTGATCACAGCTGATAGTCCGGCGTCTTCGACACGTGCGGAGAATTGAACGTTAGGTTAGAAAATGAACAGCGGTTAAAAGCCGAAAATAGTCTTGATTTTTTAACTTTTTTTCTTTTAACTTTTCTCGACGTTGGAGAAAAAAAAGAGAAAAAATGAACTGTGCAAGAAGTTCAGCTAAAATTGCTAAAAAGAAGAAGTCTATATAATAACGAGAATAATAAATGTTTTTCGATTTAATTAGGCGCAGTGATTACTTGAGCAGAACTACACTTGAGTACCGAACTTTATCCTCTCACTGTTTTCTTCTCCGATTGGCTGATCGATTGACCGCCAAAAGAGGAGAAGTTTGAAATATCTTTAATTTCATTAGAAAACAAAGTAGGATATTTGCTCCCGGTTGAACAATATTGAATTAATTATTGAAAACGATTTTGAATTTTTTAAATCAATAATGATGTATCTACTAAAGCCCCAGACACAATGCAAAGGAATAGCGATAGCGATAAAAATAATACGATTTCAACTTATTAGAAACTGTATATTCCAGTGTGTGTGTCTGATTTCTGATAAGTTGAAACTGTGTTATTCCTATCGCTATCGCTATTCCTTCGCATTGTGTCTGGGGCTTAATATCTAAATGCAACGAATATACATATATACAACCTCGAGTAAGCTTGAAATGCATAATCTAAAAGGATAAAAAGTCAAAATAATATCAATTTAATATTGACCGAATCACTACAAAAAATTAACAATAATTGTCAATAATCAGTCAATATGATATCAGTAGAATTGACATTATTATGACTTTCTTGTTCTGCTTGGATCGTATTTAAGCAGAACATAATAAATTTCTAGGAGGCGAAAATTGAATCAAAATGTAAAAGAAGCATAAATGCTTCTTTTATATTTCATTGTTTTAATTTTCGCCTTTTAGAAGTTTCGTTTATGCTTCTGTTTCCCATTACATCCGATTTATACTCCGATTTTTATTTTCATTCGGGTTATTATAAATCTGTTTTTTCTAGCTGCATACTTTTGGAACTTAAAAAGTGAAACAAGTATATATTTGATATTTTACTAAAATGAGAAAAAAGTTCTAGTGCAGCTATCTAGAGCAGCATATAAAAAAACAGACTGTGACGTCAAAACGACGTCGAAATAACAATATGATTACTAATAGCTTTTTCGACTGTAATCGATGTAGATTGACCCGAGAATGATTAACCCGAAAGTACCATGACCTCATCTAAATAGAAACCAAATAAGTAGAGCATGCGTCATTTATAAGATAATCGATCTCGGATCGATTATTTAAACCCGCTGCAATCGAAAACGCTGTAAAAGACACTTTTCAATCAGCAACAATTTATTTTAACGTCATTTTATGGCTTGTTTTTCTGCTTAGGTACTATAATTATCTATAATACATATATTCACCTGTATTCATTCACTGTCAGAAAATCTATAGTATGCACTTACGTACATACATGCTGTAGATTTTCAGTACTGGTAAATATTGAACGTAGCCTTCATGAAAGGTCTCTAGTGACGTCAGATGAGATAAATGATTGAGCTTTTTTTGTTGAATTGTAAAATGTTTTTTATCTAAACATAATTTTGATTAAATTTTGATTGATTTAATCAATAATTATCAAATATAATATTTGTGCCTTTGATTTTGTATTGTTTATAATATTTGTACTATATTTTTTCAACATGGATAGAAATTAATTTCTGTTAAAATTCACAAATAAGCAAATCAAAAGTTAATGAGCCGAGTTTGGTTCACTAGTTTTTGATTCGTTTATTTGTGAATTTTATTTAAAAGAGTCTTTAGTTATATTCCAATTAAATTTTAATTTTTGTTGTTTATAAACGTATGGCAGAAAAGATTTTATCAGGGATAATGAATATACAGTTAGAATCGCGCGGAATTTGATCGCATACATCGTAACATTATTTGCGCGAAATCGCTGCTCTTATCTGACCTACTAGAAAATTTTTGTTGTTACAAACATTGAAACGAATAACAACAATTGATAGAAAAATAATATTTATCCATCTTATAGGAATTAATTTAATACTAGCAATAAAAGTATTGTTACAGTACTTTTTTAATTATTAAAAATTATGATATAACGAGTATCGAATCATATCATTCAATAAATATCGTTCGATACTTGTTACTTCATAATTTTTGATAAATGCAAAAAATTTGCATATCTAGCAAAAAAATCCCAGCAATCACACAATTCTTGCAGTCAGTGCGAAGATTACAGACACAAATGCTATTGGTAAATGCTATGTAATCTGTAAATATTATATAATGTTATCAGTAAATATGCTCATCATTTGGGGTATTTATAGATTGTTTAGTAGATATCTTATCCGAACCGTTCATGCTGATAATTTATTATTATATATATTTGCATATTGCGACAATCCTATTGATTTGACGTCAATTTTCGGGAAGTAGATTTAACATATATCGACATATTCTCCAATATAGTTTCGATTCTATGGTTTCGTAATTGGAGCAGAGCACGATTGGAGATGACCGATACTTTTCGGAATGGCTTCTTAAAACAATTATAACCGTGAAAGAATTGCGTTTTTTTTTTGCCCCCTAAAACTCTTCTCCGGCGTCGTTGCCGAGATTATCGACAATGTTGTGAAAATGCGCTTCAATCTCGCTATCGCCAAGATTACAAGTTCATCGAGGGTCAATCCTAGTTGCGTCTGTGTGCGGGAAGCGTGATGTTTTCGAGTGCATAAGATCAGATTTTTAAGCCTTAAGAGACATTTTGAGTTCAAGGGTGGAAAAACGCGGTGGGATATGATCTCCAAACGCGACAATATCGTCCATATATATCATATCGATGCAGTCGTACAGCACGTAGTGCGTGATAATCTCACTCCGAAGTGTACGACGAGGATGTCCCCGCACAAGGAGCCGCTTTCTCGCCTACAGGATGACGAAATGTATTCGTTTAGTAGATCGCTGAGGAACCAAGAATCGTCATACACAAGAGACAAACGTATTCATTTTAGTGAGAATGAAAAAAGGTACATTATGTTTCCTTTCAACTAGTGAATTCCAGTCACAAATTCTTATTAATCTCTTACGAGAACAATTAAGTTACGAACCTTACAATTTTGATTAGGATTGACCCACAAGTCTTCAGACGCTTCATTAGAAATATAAATGAATAAACCGACATAAATAATCATAAAGAAAATATTATAGTAAGAATTATAACAGAGTCTTCATTAGCTTGGTATTTTACGAGAGAATTGCTGTAATTATTTGAATTTTTAATGTACGCTTTGTCAATTAAATTCCTTGTGAGAAAGAAAAAAAATCTCAAAACCTTGGCGTAGTTGCTTTTACACAAATTGTACGTTTTATTTCGTTCACGGAGAATAATTAGGATGTCGATACAGTAAATTCAGACGTAATAGAAAATAGACTAATTGAACTAAAATACACGTTTTAAGCTTAAAACCCACTTTAGACGACCTATTTTGTGTCAGATTTCAAGATAGAATCCTATTTATAAATTTATACGCCGTGTACAAAAAAAAATGTTTAAAGAATCAGAAATACGTATATTCATAAATATAGGACGCGCACGTGTATCAAAATACGCAAAATCTATATGAAATTATAAATAGAATTATGTCTTGAAATCTAACGTGAATTATAGATCGCTTAAAATGGGATTAAGCATTGTTATATATCTATAAATTGTCCCCGTAGTGCGATTTAAAATACCTATAACTGTTCACAGTGCGCGTCGCAATTTCTATTAATGCGATCGGTGAAAATCAATAGTCCATTGTGTGCAATTTTTATAGCAACAAGTGCTCCAATATCTTACAATTGGCTGAGTTCAGTAGAAAAAATAACTTTGCAGCTGTTGAAGAAATTCTTTAATATAATTCGTTCTTGTTCTTAATTCCTCATAGATCTAAATGTATAAATTAATCATATTAAATAATCTTACAACAATTACAAAGCTGCTTTTCTGCCAAAAGCAATCAATATTATAATTTAAATTCTTTACTCAGTGAGATTATATATTCTCATTACAAAAAGGAATTAATATTATAGTAACTGGAGCAATTACAAAAAAAATTAATATTATGGTAACTGATGTAATATTTTCTGTATATCCGAATAAGTCGGAAAGAAGTAGAAGAATATCGTGTGAACGAATAAAAAATTTTAATGGTAAATAAATTCAGAAAGAATTTGTGTTTAGGGACGAATACGAATTAGGCCCTTGTGCTTACGGCAAGAATAATGTCAAGTTGTTGTACGTAAATCGGAATAATGAGCCTTACCACGACATTCGCGAATACGAGATCGACACGCACTTACGTCTGTACGATCAGAAGGAGTTTTTCGGTGACAATCGTGACATTGTCTCGACGGATAGTCAGAAGAATACGGTGTATCTGCTAGCGAAGAAGCACGGCGTTCAATCGCCCGAAACGTTCGCGCTTCTACTTTGCTCTCACTTCCTCTACACGTACAAACACGTGGCGCAAGTCAGTGTCAACGTCGAGGAATACCCGTGGACCAGGTATCACGCTGACAACCGGCCACACAATCACGCCTTCGTTATGAATCCCACTGCGACGAGATTCTGCCAAGTCAGTCAGGTCAGAAATGGTATGGCTCGAGAAAAATGATCCGCTTATTTCACGTAACTCATTGAGACTAATTCAAAAAATGAAAGACAACGATCTATTTTAAATTTCTAAATAAATTCAATTTTTAGATAATTCCTAAACAGATTTATTTTTTAAAGAGAATTAATTTTTTATTCCTAGCTAGCGTGATTTTTTTATATCATTATCATAATTATTTTTTTATATCTTTTTATATTTTTATAAAATGTTAAAGTTACATATATTATGAAAGTTTCTTTAATTTATATGTAAGATTTTACTTTTTGCCCTTAAATTAAAATATGTATTGACGTAATACTTTTTAATGCAATATATTTTTCACATGCATTTGATTTATTACGAAATCAGAAAATATGAAAATTTGAACAAGCAGAAGATTAGTCTGCTAGCTTCTCATTCAGGATTTACTCGGTTCTAGGACCGCCACAAATACGCGGTGGATTGAAGGGGCTGCGAGTGTTGAAATCCACTCAGAGCTCGTTTTCAAACTTCATTCAGGACGAATACGGCACGTTGCAAGACACGCACGATCGTATTTTCAGTACTGTTGCAATGGCAGCGTGGGATTATTCCACCGCCGAGGTAGATTTTGATGGTGCTTGGCATATAGTGAAGGAGTGTATTCTACAAACTTTTGCGGGTCCACCAAATACGGGGATTCATTCGCCCAGTGTGCAGAATACGGTTTATCTCACAGAAAAGTGCATACTTGATAAAGTCAAACAAGTAAGCATTAATATATTATTATCACAAACTAATAGTTTACTATCTATTTCATAACGTTTTGCTAAAAAGATCTTAATTTAATTTATTTGAATATTAAATTAATAAGTTAAAATTAAAATAAACATTAAAAAAAACATTTAATGTTATTAAAATATTAAATAATAATAATTACATATTATAATAATAAATTAATATATTTAATTATTTTGTTTTACCTATTATATGTGCATTACGCGGAAATAAAATATTTACAGATTAGTAGCATCGAGATGCAAATGCCGAACAAGCATTACATCGATTTGGATTTCAACTCGTTTACCAAACTAAGAATAGAAGGACAGAACAAGGAAGTTTATCTACCCTTAGATAAGCCGTCAGGTATTATTTACGCTCGATTAAGCAGAAAAGATTCCTCGGCCAAATTATAAACATGTATGATTGTTGAGTTATTAATAAAGTTTATATTTTTTATAATCAGGCTAGATTGTTCCATCTTTCGGTAAACTTCACTGTCTTACTCTCTTACTCTCATAAAAGTAATGCTTTTATTCTTTTGCTCTTTTGTTTATTCAATAAATAAATTATCACATAGTTTACCCGAAGCTGGAACAACCGGCCTTTAATCTAGCTCTCGAATAAATTTCTAAAGGTTACTTTAGACTCTATAACTCGCGCCAGATTTCGGAAAATTCTATAATTTTTATATGTTGTGTAATTTTTTATATACAATATTTTATATAACCTTTAATTTTATATAAACTTTAATTCTCTTAATTTTTTTCTTATACGTGCCACGTAAAATGATAAATAGATTTACATTTGGAATTATTTTATTTTATTTTAATTTACTATAAGCTCTGATAATATCATAGGAAGTATCGGACAAAAAACGCTCAAATTGAGCGAACACTTTCTTTTAATGAAATTGTCATCGCGGACTACGAAAAATTTCACGTAAAAATTTACTTCTAAAATAGATTATAATTCATAAAATATATGTTTTCGGCGGCTGTGGATCTATACGACGTGCCTCCGGCATGGTGGGAAACAGACTGCGTGAAATACGGGTGAGATTGAAGCCTTTTCGCCGATTTTCGCCGAGAATAACCTCTTAATTAATCGACACAGACTCAGTTACACACCCGTGAGATCGCGATTAACGTTGCTGATGGGAAGTAATGTAGTGCGATTGACGGATCGCAAATACATGATGCTGCTCGCGTCGAGACTGCAGGAGGATTACGAGGCGCAGCAAAAGGCTCGCATCGAACGAAAGAAATTGAAGGCTGTCTCGATCGTACCGCAATTGAATGAATTATTGCCCAGGTCGTTTCTGAAGACTACTCGGCGACGACGTGAATGCGAGCCAAAATTTCACGCGTTTGCAGCTCAAATGTGTAAACAACTTCCACAAATGTTACTCGCGAATGATTCAGAGCCTCATTTTAAATTCTAAATTATAATTTGTATAATAACATTCACATTTATTTTGGCCGTTTCGACGAGTAAATCTAAATGTAAGAAGAAAAATACAGAGTCAAGGAACGTTAATTCAAAATGTTTGATATGCGCATAATAAATAACAAGCTTCAAGCATGTTCTTTTAATTAGCTGAACTTCTTGTACGATTCATCTTTCTTTTTTCCTTATTAGAAAAACAAAGGAGAAAGGATGAACTGTGCAAAAGCATAAAAAGAGCTATTCAGCTAAAAAGAACCTATCGTCAAATTTATACATCGACTAAACACTTAGAAGTTAAGTTTTTAATTAGCTACTCTAAATTAGCTAATCTAGAACTAAACGATTGAAGATTTGATGTGATGTTCGATGACCAATTTTAATCACAATTGTTGGTTTCGAGAAAGAGAAACAGATGTTTCACGGCGAGGCCTTAAGTCGTCACCATCTCTATCCGTCTCTGCCGTGACTTCTTCAATGGCAGATGAAACACGAGTGGTCGATTGACGGGAACCTGCACCAGTACTCCCTTGGAGTTACGATCGATCGTGTCGAGCGAGTCGTCGGTGTCTGTAAAAAGATCGCCATTTTTAATCGCGAGATTGCTCGGTTCTTTTCTTACGCGTTTCGGTCGATGAACAAATAAACGATCGATTTTTTTCTCGTGCAAAATTATTCGTCCTCACCTAGACTCTTCTCGTCCCAAAGATCATCCCATAGATCCGGCTCGGATAGATGTTGGAGACCCGACGACATGATTAGCGACGGATCTGGCGCATATCCGTAATGATAACCTGACCAGCCGAGTGATGTGACAGCGTCGCTAGAAAATAAAATGCTCGAGTTATGTCCGCATGGAAAGGATGATTTTGCTGAAACATCTAAAAATTTATCTAGATGCAGATCTAAAAATAATTTTGTTGGTCCACCAAAATAATTTTGTCGGACGCTCGGTTCATAGAATGTCAAAGTTTTTTGCAGCAATGCTTGAACTTTCTGCATAATTATTTTGATGATCCAACAAAATTATTTTTAGATCTGTATATTTACCTAAATGTTTATATACTCCAATAAAATCGTTCTTTCCGTGTATACGTATAATTATTTAAATGATACAACAAAATTATTTTCAGATCTAGCTAAATTTTTAGGTACTTCAACAAAATCATTCTTACCATACGTTTTTACCAATGTAAATTAAGGTCTGTTTTCTGTGTAGCTGAACTAGTGTACACTTTGGAATTTAAAGTGAGATAGGTATATGTTTAATATTTATCGAAAGTGAGAAAGAGAGTTCTAATACAGGAACAGAAAACAAACCATTAGTTTAACTTGCTATTTATCTTTTTCTATTCTAGGAATTAGAAAAGGGTAAAGAGTAAGTTAAATCGATATTAAAGTTAATCTGCATTAGTAGAAATGGACATAAATAGAAATGGACAGCCAGTCGCATCAGCCATGTGTGATATTAACATATAACGTGCAAATAAAATTAAAAGGATTGGCGATGAGATTGCAAGTTTTCTCGCACGCGGCGATACGAAAACTAAACTAAACTTGAAATATCACTTTCCCTCGTGGAATGATTTTTTTTTTTTTGTATATAGATTAGTTTTTGCACGAGACGTTGTCGAGTTGCTAAACAAGTTTAATTTATTTTACTCAATTGGAACGTACTCGTAGAGTTCGTTGAGATAGTATTTATCTGGTGCTCTCGTCCATGCTAATAGAGGGAAAGGCATCGGATAATAATGTACGTGGTAGTGTTGTACATGGCCCATCTTAGGCAGCGTCTTTTTTGCCTTCAGAGATTCAAAGAATTCCGTCAGTGCCTTCTTAGGGCTGCAACATGAGAAAACGTGTAAATAATTGAAGACAGAAAAGCGGAAGGTAGAAAAAATGGCACACTTGTCGTCTGTATTGCATACAAATTTTTCATGCCGCTCCATTCCATCGGCAGCTTTCGATTTTATCTTGTCTCTAGGATGAGAGACAATTTTCTTCTTTTAAAAAAAATATTAAGCTAATAAATTGTGAATTATTAAAAATAAGGCTATTTAAAAAAGTCTAAATCTGATTTAAAAAAGGTTATTTAAAAAAAATTTTAGAATGATAAAAAACCTTATTATTCAAACAATTGCGAGTCTACTTTTTAGCAAAATTTTAACTTAGAATTTGTTTATTAAAATATCTAAAACAAATTACAAAAAATAATAGTATCAAAGTTTCGACCAAAGAAAACTAGTTCAAGATAGGAAAGTTCACGAATCGAAGGAGACAAAATCGATTTGTCTTTTCTTGCATAAGATTAAATTATTCTTTTCGAATTTCAGTAGCTCTGACATGAAGAAAGTACAAAGCACACTCACTATTGAAAAAAAAATTCTTCCGAGGATCCGGCCAAAAGCACCACGGGTAGCGCCAACTGCAAATCATCACAACGATTAATCTATAGTCTCCTTCTGGTACTTTTTTTGAATTTTATTCTCAATCGTTTATGTAATTAATAATCGCCGGTGATCCGAGCGACACGTCGACTTTGTTCGCGTCGAGTTACTAAGTTATTTACTAGCAGACCACAGAGCACAAATTGTTGGAGTTGTTATAACGTGAGCGGTACTCCTAAGTGCACTTCCTCCATAACGAAGAACAACATCATAAAATCTCAAATTTGCAAGGTCGACGCGGTCGTTTTTACACCTGCCATTAAGATATCTGGTCATTTACTTGCAACATCAGCCCCGTCTTCATGCTGCAGCACTAACTGGAAGGTTGATCGGATCGCTACGTCCGCAGTCTGCGATATATGAATACAACAAACTGAGAATTTCGATGAAACTGGATCGCTTTATAGCCGCGCTCTCTTACCCTCTTTCTCTCCATGCACTCATACTTTTCATTTTTCCCCTCGGCCGCGGTTCATCAAGTGATAGCTGAAACAACTTTTCATCATTCAAGAATCACATATCGCCACGTTGTTGTAATCACTTCCTCGCAGCTATAATCATATGCAGAGCACTGTGTGTGATACGTTCACGGAAAGAATGGTTTTATTAAGTATCTAAAAATTTAACTAAATATAGATCTGAAAATATTTTTGTTGAACCGTTAAAATAATTACGTAACTCTCAAATATGATGAGCAATGCTGCAAAAAGTTTTAACATTCTAGCAATCAGTTTAAATATCCTACACTGAACAATAAGATTGGCTGAATGAGGCATAGCATTTTTAATTGGTTGCAAAGCCAATTAAAAACGCTATGCCATATTTTACCATCTAATTTGCTGTAGCAGCCAATCTTTTCTTTCAGTATACATAATTATTTTGATAGCGAATTAAAAATGCTATGCCATATTTTACCATCTAATTTGCTGTATCAGCTAATCTTTTCTTTCAGTATACATAATTATTTTGATAGTCCAACAAAATTATTTTCAGATCTGTATTTAACTAAATTTTTTAATATTTTATATCTAAATTCTAAGCAGAATCGTAAGGCTCGTAACATATATCTAATATTCTTGTAAGATTTGTAAGAATTTTTTAAATGCTTATATCTTTATACAAATAATATTTTTACAGACAGCTTCTTACTAGCCATAAAATTTACAAGAAATCGTAGATATTTATGTCTTACGATATATACGCATGAAATTAGAATACTAATCATAAGTTCTCGCAAGTTTTACGAGAATACGTTACGAGTTTTATGATTTTCGGCTTAAAATTGACCCATTAGCAAAACCATCCTTTCTGTACATAGATCTGAAAATAATTTTGTTAAACTATCAAAATATGTAGAACGTTCAAAATGTGTAGAATTTGGTTGCTAGAATATTAAAACATTTTGCAATATTGCACATCATACTTGAGATTTTTACGTGATTATTTCGATAGTCTAATCAAATTATTTTTAGACCTGTATCATCTAACTAAACTTTTAGATATTTTACCAAAATTTTTCCGTGTTATGACGCGCATTATTATGAATTATTAAATAGTGTTTATTAATTAAACAGTCACATAAAAATATTTTTTAATATAAAATACAAATAATTTACGATCAAGTTTACGCGTTTAAAAACATTTTATGTTTATTTAATCTTTCCGACGAGTTGTATTGAAGCTCTTACGTTTATACATCGATAACATTATATCTCTATTTAAGACTTCCGTTTTCTTGTTGCAACGACAATCGCGATAAGAAATAATTTACACCTTTTTCTTGCAATGTCCATTGAAATGATATTTTTAATTGGTACGCTTTCGATGATAGAAATAGATAAAATATACCGGAAATTTCCTTCTTTAAATTATTCTACATAGCAAATGTACATGCACACATAAATGTATTCAACATATATGTATATGTTCTGAACGAATTCAATCTGCTTGTTTTGTATTTTCAATGATAACAGTTCTCATGATTATTAGTTAAGATTTACAGCTCTATCTTCGAGAGAAGAGCACCTGCAGAAATATTTTACCAATCTTTATTTAACCCTAGAACATATAAATATCCTAAGAATTTAATCTGCATGTGCCTCGTGTTTACAACGGAAATGGTTTTCATGATTATTTATCGGTCGCGATTTACAGCTATCTCCGAGAGAAGATAATCTTCGGAGATATTTTTTCAATGTTTATTAATAAATATGATGAAAAAATTAATTTAAAAAGTTTATTTTATACACAAATGATACAAAGGAATCAATTTATTTCATATTGTACAATTAATAAAAAAAAGATTGAATTCTCGTTGTTGACATTATATATCTTAATGTAAAATGAAGAAAATAGAACGTGATAAAATGCTCTGTTAATATGTGTGTCGCTTCAACGGCATGACTGAAAAACAAATACGATCTCAAGTTAATGAATAACGTCCTCTGTAATCGACAAGTTGCTTTGTAGACGGTAAAATATACATCAATGCGCAAGAGGCAAGATTCACTTTAATGACTGACTGGAAATCGGCGCTTTATACTAGTGCACAGGATGTTCCACATGCGATTCTAATCGCGAGGATTACGATTATACCTCGCGGGCACCTTTCACATTCACGCATAAAACGGAAAATGAAGAAAGGTGAAACTGACATTGTCGGATGCTTATCATCGGCGCGACAGGCTCGTTCGAGTAATTATCACATTTTCACAGGCATACATCATGCACATGTCGCGCTCAAATCTGTAATAGATTGATACACAATAACGATCGTTTCTCAGCGATTTTTTTCGAAGTTCACTTTCTTCTTTTTCAATTCTTACTTTTCTTTTCTTATTTACTTTCGATTTTACGTTGCTTTTCATTTCGCGTAAAGCGCGGGAACCAAATTTTCTAAAGAAAATAATTTGTTTAAAAAAAAAAAGAAAAAATAGCTTATTATCAGATTGTTTCTTGCCTTAATGAAGTAAATTTTGACCAAATGTTAGCATTTAACGATGTATGAGCTTATCCAGAAGGGAGGGAAATTGAAAATTAAAAGTTATAATTAGCAAAATCTAATATTTTTTTAATTCAAAATCAGGAACAAAAAGAACCCATATAGTACTTTATTTGACAAACATCCTGAGAACTTAGTCCTTATGACGTTTGAAAGATATAAAGACATCCTTCGGAATGTCATATGTTTCTTGGAGGTCTGTACTGTAGAGAGATTTCTAAAAATATTCACAAGAAAGAATATCTAATAAAACAATTCATTAATACAAAAATAGCTCTTTATTTGATAACACAGAAATTCTAAATAAGCAATCATTAAAGCAAAAATTACTATTTATATCATCACAGAATTGATAAACCTCTCGCTAAAAAAAAATTCTACACGCCCATGTGACGATATCAAGACCTAGAGATAACCTACGACCCTGATAATATTTATGTTGGATAAGATATCTAAAAAAACGTCTTTTAGATGTCTTATGTCTAAAAGATATCTAAAAGATATCTTTTAGATATCTTATGCAATATACATGTTATCTGGAGAACCACGTGAATATATATATAGCTTGTTTGAAGAAAATATCCGTGAAGGCCTCAAAAATATTATGGAGAAAAAAATGTTAAAAATTGAAATCGTCTATCATTTAGATCATTTAGATGTGATTTATGATATTGATTTCTTTCAACAGTAAACACTCTAACTTTGTTAGTGATTATAAATTTTATATGTTTTGTATATAACTTTTCTTTGATAGAATGATCGATGTGAGTCATTATTGCAATTTCACGGCTTATGAAAGCGCCATAACGTGAAAAGATTCGCTAGATAACGATCTCCGTTTCATCGCGCAATAAATTTATTCGACCAATTTGTCTGTGAAGAGCCGCAATTGGCTTTCGAAGCATATCGGTAATGAACTTGACAAGTTGCGTTAATCGCCATCAGGACGTCCTACTAGCATGATAATCTCTGAACCATACAAACGACTTGAAGGAGACAAGCGACTTTCTTTTACGACAATAACGGGGAGAACTGCGGGGCTGGACGACGACGGAATCAGCGGTTTGCAATTAGACTTGGTAGAAAAATAACAGAAAAAAAGAGGAAATTAATGAACCGTGCAAGAAGTTTAACTAAAAAGAACAAGCTCTTGTTTCGTGCAAATCGCACTCGCCCGGAGGCCACGGAGTGGATTGAACTGGACGCGTCATTACCGGGTGACTGCGAAATAACGGTCATCTATTTTCTCCAACGGAAACAAAGAACAATGGTTATTTACACTCCTCGCGATGCACTTCCTGCAGACGTGATTATCATCATTTACATTTCAAGCGTTGTCATGTCGCGACCGTCGTTCCACATCAGATTAGTTCACCCGATGACAATGCGGAGGGTTCACTAGGATAAATGCTACTTTCGACCATGTTGGCGTGTCACGAGAAGCGGAAAAAGGAACGGTAAAGAGGAAAAAAAAAATGGCTGAATTAGAACGAATCGAGAGATGGGAAACTTCGATTCTGTCCAAGTCATTTCTAGTCTTTTGTAGGACTTCCTCGCAGACGGAATCCCCCGTCATCGATGGGATTGATGGGACCAACCCCTGAGATACGGGAAAACTTTCCCTTCCGAGAGAAAGCCGATGCGTAAGGTCGTGGCCGTCATGGGCGACGGCGTTCGGAAAATTGTCCGAGTAAACCGGTTCCAGTACTTCGATACCGATTCTTCGATCGATTTGTCGGTTACCGTTGTCGCCATCGTTCTCGTCAACATGCATGTACGACACGTAGTGCTTTATGCTGCGCCTGTGGTGATTTTAGAAATAAAATGACCGCGAGGTATACTATACACAGAGCTATAACGACTGTGCGATTTCTCTTGTATATGCGATTATTATCATAGAGAAATAAGTGCGACTGGATAATGAACAGGGAGAAACGACAGTAAAACCGGAATCCGACTCGCAAAAAAAATTAATGGAGCATTTATCGAGAATAAATCAATCTTCTTTTTCTTTTTATATTAATTAAATGACACCGAGCCTCCAGGAAATATATTCCAAATGGAGGTCAATTTAGTCAAAACGAGTGAACAAGAGTTTAATCTGAACTTACGGAAGGAAATCTTTTTATTTTTTAATTAACTCCAGACTTATGACTGCTTCTACTAATATAGTTTAATCTCGGTTCAACTAATTCTTCATCTTTTTCTAGCTTTAAAAGCAAGTTGAACTGAGATTAAAGTTAATCTAGGATTAATAGAAACAGACGTCAGTGTAATAAGGTTTTATGTGTATTACACCGGTCAGATCATCTTGGAGATGTTTTTGATTAAAAAGATATAAAAGACACAAAAAATGCCTGAAAATAGTAGCACATAAATAGCGCATAAATCCTGTGTATTTAATTTTTCAAATCGGTTTTTAACGGGTGGGGGGGCTGACTGCCTTATACTCAACCCCCCACAAAAAATTTTTTTTTTAGCCAAACGGATGAGCGAAAAATTTTTTTTTGCGCATATGGGTAGCGCATAAATAGCGCATAAATTCTGTGTATTTAATTTTCCAAATCGGTTGTTTTTAACGGAAGGGGGGCTGACTGTCTGCCTACTCAGCTCCCCCATAAAAAAATTTTTTTTTATCTAAACGGAATTAGCGCAAAAATGTTTTTTTGCTGGTGTGGGTAACACATAAATAGCGCATTATTCCATATAGTGGGGGTGTCAGCTAAACAGACGTCTCTTAACGTCTGTCTAGCTGGGCCCCATACTTAATCAAACCTTAATGAAAAAATTATGGAATAATGCGCTATTTACGCGCTACCCATATTCGCAAAAAAAATTTTTGCGCTCCTTTCGTTTTACTATTGTAATAAAAATTGAGTACACTTAAGGAAAAAACAAAAATAGTGAGATTTAGGAAAGGAGGGGGAAGGAGTAATAAGGTGGATTAGATATGGAAAAGTAAGAGGATAGAGGAGGTAGGAAAATGTAAATATCTAGGTTATACGTTGCAGAAGAATGGCGGGTAGGAAGAGCATGTGAAGGAAATGGTGGGGAAGACGACGGCATTGTTGGGACAAGTGTGGAGGGAAGAAGAGATTTGGAAAGGACTGGAAGAGGAGAATTTGGTTATTTAACGCACTGATTTTGACGATAATGAGTTATGGAGTGGAAATATGGTGATGGAATGGGAGGGGGTGGAGAGGATACAGGAGAGAACGAATCCAACACACCCGGTGTGTTCGGGCGTCAGGTGTCTTCCTCTGGTCAGGTTGATGTTCAAATGAAACATCACCTGGCAGAAGATGTACGAAGATTTTCTCCTCTAACATAAAACAAAAAAAAAAGGAAGCAACATGTACCAGGGTAACATTAGCGTTCGATAATAAATAATTGTATTATAAAATTGTTCATGGTATTTAACTAAAGAATTTCATCCGCCATATTGATTCAACCACTTTGAATTTTCAAATTTTTAAACCGCCATAACGATTCGGTCATTTTTCTTATTCAATTATTTTGAATCCAGATTTGTAATATTATATTTCATAATGTCTAAAGAGAAGAGTATAATGGAGGAGCGCGCGCTACGCAGGGGATGTGCTAGTTTACAGTAAATTTCTAATCATATTTATGTTATTTAAGTAATTTTCCAGCCATAAACATGTAATTTCCATGTAAAATTATATATATATTTTTTTCAGTGTGTTAGGCGCCTAGCTATCTTATAATAGGGGGCTTTCCTCTATACACAAAATAATGGGACAAATTAATATAAAAAACTATAGTTGTTTTTATGGAGATCAAAAATTGGGTACTTTTCTTTTTAAAAAAAGAATCTTTAATAGACGTGTCTTCCCTGACAACACAGACTTCCTGGGGATGTCCGTATCCTTTTGAACATCCTAAGAACATTTCCAGGATGTATCCCGAATAAAGTATAGCTATTAAAGTTATATCTCGATTTTGAATTTTTTCTTATTGTCTGGGACATTATAATGCATTAAAACAATATATTTTATTATTTATATAAATTTTAGAAATTGGATGTTTCCCATTTGATATCGACTTGTATCATCAAACAGGAAGCACCACCGACGATCGAAAAATTATTACATGCGGTCGGTCCTGAGGTGGTCCGGGGATAATTGAAGAACGATGATATTATCAACAATTAATATAAACTGCGATTGTAATCACAAATTTATATCAATTGTTGATAATGTCATCGTTCTTCAATTATTCTCAGACCCGATCCCTGAACTATTAATCACGAAAATTAGGGTCGTCTTTAATAATAAGTAATACTCGTTGTTGGTGCTTTCCATTTGGTAACACAATCAAATTAACATCAAATGGAAAACACCTAATTTTTAGAATTTATATTTTTATACTATGTACCGAGATATATACAATAAAATATATTTTAAATGTAATATATGCATGTTATACATTAATTAATGTTACTTTATTGTACATACATGTAAACATGAAATATTTTTTTCATGAATATTAATTGTTTCAAAAACGCCTTGTGATTGCATATTATAGTTTTATGACAATTTTACAGGATTATATATTATATATTGCAGTATGCAATACCGATCGAGCCTCGGCGTCGGTCAGATCGACCTCTATTTTATCTACGCGCGCGACGCGGCGGCGGCCTCGCAGCTTCGAGTTTCCCTCGTGCGTTTCTAGGCGGCGTTAAACGCCGAGGACGCCCGAGGGAAAATGGCAAGCAAGAACGAGGGTGTCGCGTGCTAAAATTCGACGGGACGCGTTACAACAAACTTTACGCCGGTGAAGGCGGTGGTGCGGGCACGAAATCCCGGCGACGGTGTCAAAGTCGCGCGGGCGTTTGTGATTCACGATTCGGTTGTACGATATCGTCGATCGTATTTCCTGTATTCACGCTTGTAGGATCGGTACGCACGCCGCGCCGGTTGACGATGTGAGCGCGCATACACACGCGAACGCAAAAGCAGCGCAGTGAGGTCGGGCGGGGGCGGAGGGAGAAAAGGGCGCTCCAGCTCGGCGAACGGAACGGCCGACGAGATATCTTTCTCTCTCTCTCTCTCTCTCTCTGTCCCTCCTCGGCTCCGACGAAGCCGACGATGTCAAACATGCGGCGTCAAGTTTTGCGCGCCAGCAATTCGACGACGACGACGTCGGCAACGACGACGACGACGACGACGACGACAAGGAAGTCGAAGGAAACGACGACGAAGAATCGACGACGGCGCACCACGGCCGTGCTCCTCTGTCAGTGAAAACTAACACACGTAAAACACACACACATACACATACATATACATATACACGCACGTACATATACACGCACGCGTACGCGTAATACACACGCACGCACGCACGCACGCACCGGTACGCGGTTGCCGATGAGCGTGGATATATGGCGGCGCGAGTACTGTTGCTGAGCGTCTTGATCACGGAAGTGCTGAAACCAGCTTGCGCCGCAGGTGCGTGCTCCATTCCTCGTGTTTACGCCTACCATCCCCCGTCAACGACATTTCCTGAGAAACATCAAATCGCACGTTCCGCATCTCACGAGTTCCAGGCGACGATGTTACTGGTTTATTATGACGTACATGGCCCAGACATCGTCGACCCCGAGACCTTCTCGTTTCTTTGTATTCCCCTCCGTGCATGAATTCCTTACATAGTGATGAGGCAAAGAGAGATGCGCAGTTAGCGTTATCACAGAGAAACCTGATATTGTTTTCGTGTGATATGCGTTTTATGTGACAAACGTCGTGAAGACTCGCGTCTTTTTCGACATGCTTTCAATCTGAAATATTTCTCTAGCGTTTCTAATCAAGCACATCTTTCTTGATTCTTTGTGCAGTCAGTTTTTGTGGTGCTCGTAATATTCATTTCCAAATATTAAAAAAATATCCAAAATATCAGAAGTAAGATTGGCATTCTAATGAATGACCAAATAATGTCAAAGCCACATGTAAATTAACGCAAAAATTGTTTTGTTACAGTTCAGAATGTACATATGATAGATTGGTTAAAATGTGATGTAAATGCATGTTTGACTACTCAAAGAACTACTAAATATTTCTATGAAACCAATATCATCAAAGATGATGTAATTTCTGATCAGTCATATGTAAAATTTAAAAAGTTTTGGAGACTAATCTTAAAGAAATATACTCTTCATTTATTTTGATTATTAGATGGTATTTCCAAAATATTGAAATTATATTCTAAAATATAAATTATATTCTAAAATATTCTAAAGATATAAAGGTAATTTGTAAACTGCCTGTTTGGCAGGTGTTAAAGGTATTGGAGGAAATATCAGTGGTAGGAACGTGTCCAAATCGGACAGTTCTGACACTGGCTTGACTAAAGGATCTGGATTAACGCTGGAAATTCAACCTAGTGGCCATGTGATACTAGGAAAAAAGGGGATCACGCTCAGTTGCATAGCTGGCTCAAATGAGACTGTGACTTGGTTGCACAATGGAATACCAGCACCTCCATGTGGTCTTACTCGCTGTGTTCTTCTTTCCAATGGCTCTCTCCACTTTTACAAGGTAATGCACCATGCAGGTAATAATCCATTTATGGATTTATTATTACGAGTAGATAATAATTCATTTATGAATTTATTATTACAAAATTATAATTTATACTTAGAAATTATATAACACAATGATGTATTATGTGCAGAAACAAAATTTACAAATGCAAAAGTTCAAAGAAAAGGAAAGGAATAATATTGTTAATGCTAGAAACCATAATAAAGATGAATATCGCTGTGTAGCACGTACTAATTTAGGAGAGTTGATACAATCAGCTCCCACCATTATTCAAATAGCAGGTAAATGCAACAATCTACAAATATATGAGTACAACAGTCCTTTCTTTCAACAAAAATTTATAAATTAGATTTATATTATAGTTGTAACGTATGTCACATGTGTTACAGAACTTGCCCATGTATTTAAAGAAACTCCAGAAAATATTACTGTTCAAGAAGGTGAAGTCACAAGATTGTCTTGCTTGATTGACAGTGTTCCTTTCCCACCCAATATTACGTGGCAGCATAATGAAACATTGTTATCTTATAATGAATCAAAGTATTCTGTGGTACCACCAGGTGTTCTGTATATAAGTGCAACGAAACTGTCAGATGCTGGCTCATATAGGTATGTTTTTTTAAAAATTTCTTATCTTTAATATTTTTATCGGAAACTAAAATGGAAATTGCCGTATTTCAGATGCATAGTCACTAATGAATTTCTAAAGAAGACCAAAAGGAGCAAAGAAGCAAAATTAACGATTATTGTGAGAGCGGAGAACAAAACAATTCATACGTCATCGTCCTTGTTCCCACAAGTTTCGTACAATCATTGGCTGCTTAATGGATCGAATCTTAAGCTGGCATGTGCTGCATCTGGTTTTCCGTCACCATTCATAACATGGTCATTTATTCCTCGTTACATAGGTAAGACATTTGAATGCAGAATACACGTTTAGTTAAGAAAATTGAATACATTTGATCATATTTGTTTGCAGATAATGTTACAAAACCTCGCATCCTTCTTAATTCCACCACTGGTATTAGTATATTGTCATTAACAAATGTGAATATTTCCAATGCTGGTGTCTACCTGTGTTCTTCAAAGAATTCTATTACCAATGACTTACAAGTACAGGTAAGTGATTATACTTGTGATTGAAAGTAATTAATTATTAATTTAGCAGATATAAATTAACATATTTATATATATGTAAATTATTGCAGAATATAACAGTAGATATATTAATACCACCGTCATTTGTAAAAACGCCGACGAACCAAATCTGTCCAAATGGAAGAACAGCGAGATTCGAGTGTCAGGCGCAAGGATTACCCGTACCTCAAATTTATTGGCTGAAAGATTCATTAAATATTACTATTAATGGTAATGATATTACAGACAGATTTAGAACTTACCAAGGAAGAACTCGTTTAGCATAATTTTTGTTTACTCTTACAATTAATTGTACATGAATGAATTTGAATGTTAATAGGTCGCAGAACAACTTATGTTAAGGAATACAATAAAATAGAATTAGCAATATCAGCAACAGTGCCGTCTGACTCTGGCATATACCAATGTGTGGCGGTAAATGCAGCAGGTGAAATTTGGGCTGCTGGCCGGCTCCAAGTAAATACATCGCGTAATAGTCCTGCCACACCCACTTCTCTAAAGTGTCACGCTATTTCACCAGTTAAAATCCTAATTTCGTGGGAACCACCAAAGTCTGTACCATATACCAGTATTACAGCTTATACCGTCCATTATAGTCCTGTAGGTGAGTTTGATACCTTGCGATAGGTATAAAGAATACAGATCTCTTAAGAGGTTTTTATTTCAATTATCTATATTTATACGTTTGATATATATTTTTAATACAGAAGGTGGTAAGGAGGAAGTTTCGCCGCCAGAACCAGGGAATTCTACGTCTGTAGAAGTAACAAAACTTCTTGAACCGTTTACAAATTACTCATTCTACGTACGCGTGTGGAATAACTATGGTGCTAGCGATCAGTCGGCTACCATTGTGTGTTCCACTGCTCCAAGTGGTACATATTTCTATCCATTTTTATCAACTTAATCTTGTAACAAAATATAACTTAGATTAACTTGAAATGACAATTTTATTTTCAGTTCCTAAAGGCACACCAAAAATGTATGTGGATATAATCAGTAGTACAAAACTAAATGTATCATGGGAACCTTTGAGTAAAAAGGATTCTCGCGGCGTCATAGTGGATTATAAGCTATTGTGGAAACTTCACCAGAGTTCATCCAGATTGGTACAATATCTACCTGCATCCGTTGAATACTATATAATTTCCGGTATGATCTTTGTCTATCTTCTTTCTCTGAGCTTTACAAAAGTAGCAATCATACAATCGTATATTACGAACACAGATTTGGAACCTGGAGCACAATATGATCTTCAAGTATTAGCAAGAACAAAACAGGGCGAGCCAAATATTAGTGAATCACAATTGGATTGGGTTACTGTAACCATGCCATCTGAATCTAATCAGTTTACTATAAAGAATGTAGATATTCAAGTATTAATTGTAAACTCTTCAATTATCAAGGTTAGTATATCATTGATTAACATTAGAAATACGAACATTTCTTATACTCATTGAAAAGAGTACCTAAATAAATGAAAATAAAAAAGGTAAAAAATCTAATATTTCATCAATATAAAGAACGTAATTAAAGAGTAATAGAGTGTTAAATTGTAAAATTACTAGAGTTAAAATCGTAAAATTTTTATTATTTTTTGAATTGCTTTCTAAATCTTTGTTCCAATACTAGATGAAATGGAAGATCAACTTCAAGCAAATTGAGTCAAAGTTCGATTCCTGGCAAATTTATTGCGAAAATCAAAATGGTGAAAATTTGAAGAATATTAGTTTACCGCAGAATATTACTGAATACTTGTTTACTGATCTTGGTAGGTATTTCACAATAAATGATAATATTTTTTAACCATGTTATTTAAATTAAAAGTGCAATAATTAATTTTTATCCAGATATGAACGATTCTTATATTATGCATCTATGTATGGTGAAGAACAGCTCAGATAAAGCAACAAGTTGCTTATCAAAATATGTAGAGACCGTAGAATCCGATCCTAGTAAGTTTGTCAAATTTTTATGGATTATATCTGCACTGAATAAAAGAAACAATTTTATGCGATAATCTTGCAATTTAGATACTGTGCCAATGACATTGGAGGCTGTTCCCGTCTCGCCCACGTCCATTAATGTGTCATGGACATTGTCCAATGCGCACGATATAAATTCATTTGAATTTTGTTATTATGCGGTGCATGTGCAAAATTCTAACAATTCTAAATGTTCTGTCGTGTAAGTATAGCTCGATTTTTTGAAATATAAATATATTTGAATACAACATCTGCTGACAAAAGTTTTAAATCTCTTTAAAATATATATTTTATAGAAACGACACAAAAACAAGCGTTGATGAGCTAAAGCCTTTTACTTTATATGAATTTAAAGTAAAAGTCATTAGGCATGATACAAATCGAACTAGCTTCTATAGCAAGTCTATAGAATGCTATACAAACGAAGATGGTGAGTCTTTAACAGAGTTGTTATTTAATAGAACAATAATACATATATGTCGGCTTTTTATATGGGATTTTATAAACGAAATGTTACAGTTCCTGGTAAAGTCGAAGGGTTACAATGGTTCTTAGAGAACAATACGAAAGTACGAATTGTATGGGAGGAACCGACCAACATAAACGGCATTATACAAAATTATATTGTCGCATATACTATAAATTTGACGACAACGTGGAATAATGTGACTGTGTCCGGTAATAAAAGGACGACGAATCTACCAGGCTTAGCACCAGGGAAACGATATTTCGTTATGGTGCAAGCTGCGACGAATGCTGGCTATGGGAAACCGTCAAACCCTATTATTGTTTTTACCGGCGGTACTAGTCGTAACGGTAGTAATGGCGGTAGTAATAATGGTGGTGGCGGTGGTGGTGGTGGTGGAACGTCAAAAGTACCTGCCCCGTCGGGCAATGAGAAAAACTCTAAGCCCGATCAGAGTTTAGGTGAGAGAAATGGACACAGACTTGGGATTTAGAAACTGTGATTCGTTAATAACCCTCATTATGATTATATAGGTGTGATCCTCGGGGTGAGCATAAGCATCGGATTTATCATGATATGCCTATGCAGTATATACTGCCGGAGGAAGTTTGAGAACTCACGGTTGAGAAACGACGCTCAACCTACGAACGGGTGTGTGCTATCGCGAAACAGAAATGAATGTTGCGCGGAGCAATCCTCCACGTCTGTGAGTCAACATATGAATGCCATCGGTACTCCGAATGAGATTGAATTAGCAGTGCTATGTCCATCATCACCGATCGAAACAAATCCGCACTCAGACGCAAAGGTAATTGAACGTCGGAAATTTGAATTTATGTGAATCTTAATAAGAAATAATATATATGTGTTGTACAGGGCGCACAGTCTAATGGGGTTTTCGAAATTTGCGCGAAAGAACCCTTATTGTCGCCGTGGGAGGTTAATGGAGGCTCGAAGGATGTTCATATTATGGAGAATCCTCAGGTATTATCACGGATTTTAACAATATTTTGTTATAGACAATAGAGACGCATTATATTTTACTAATTAATTCATTCTTCGTGATTGCAGTACAAAAGAAGAGGCAGCTCCGCCTCGAATGATCAACGGGAGGAGGAAGAGGAGCAAGATTTAGAAGGCACGCAGCTCACAATGGTCAATTGTACTTTAGGCAGTAGTGCTAGCAGTTTAAATAACAATTCAGGATGTCCGGACGATGAGATTTCATCATCGCCGAAAGCCACGTGTACATCTGTTCCGGCGCTTGGACCAAACGGGTGAAAATGCATTAGGCAATACGCTAAAGTGTTCAATGCTTCTCAGCGGTATCAAGGTACAACAGGTAGGAGTACATGAATTCTCCTATTTCCTCCTTCCTTATGGCACGCCATCGATCACGCTCCGAATCAATGCGCGAGAAAAAAAAAATAGCGATGTCTAGCCCCGAGAAAGCGAAAGCAATGCAAAATTGCAACAATCTCGCGAAACAGGAGTATTGTCTGGCACATGATCGATGTAAATAATATTGTTTTGAAAGAAATTGTAGCGTTAATTATCGTCACGTTGTAAATACGAGCAAGAAACATTTATCGCGCGGAGAACAAAGCTCGTCTGCATAAGCGCCTCAGTGAAAGCAACTCGATTCTAAAATTTATTGCATTCTTTGCATGATGCACTTGTAACATTGTAATGCAGTGATCGCGTAGACGATACTTGAAATGTTTACCGGACTTGTGTATGTACAGAATAATTTAAAATATTGTTTGAAAATAAAAATTAAATATTTTTGAAAAGAATTGAAGAGAATTATTATATAAATATGGTTAAAAATTTTTGATATTAATATAGTATATTAGCGAATACTGCTAGCAAAATGATTTCGGTATTCAGTTTCCGATTGAGACCATTTAGCGAAATGCAATATTTTTGTACATAGGCTGTTTTAAAAGTGTTTAATTTATCACTTTTTGTTGATTCTTTAACGAATGTCGAGTAATTCTGTACATATACAAATTAAGTGAACTATCAACGTACCGAAAATTGAAAGATGCGCGAACAAAATAAACTGAAATAAAAAACAGCAAGTTTCTGATGCCTCTGTATACATAGAATAGAATAATTATTGATTGTGAATATGTTCATAAAATATTACATTTCGAATACCGACAGCAAAAAAAGATATGTGGACGTGCATTCCTTCGCGTTTGGGAACACAAAACTGCTAAATATTCGGGCATAGTATGGCCTAAAAGTTGATAAAGTTTTATTCTGACAACAGTTTTCGGGCTGATGATTCGGGCTTAAAATGGAGCAGAGAGATACTGATCATTCCAAAATAAGTTTTCCATTGATATTTAATTGTGAACAAAGGAAGAACGTTTAGTATTAACAAAACAGGGAAAGGCTCTAACCAGATGCTACGCGTTTTTAGAAATGTTAAGAAAATTTTTTATTCCGTGTTTTTCTTCTTTTTTTCCTCTTTTTTTTCTATTTTTCTCTTTATATTTTAATGTACCGTATGTGTGTCATTATGGTATCACTTTTACAAAAATATTGATTTCTCCAAGGAATCGAAGTAAAAATCTTTTTTTGCATTTGGAGCTAGTGTGCATGACAAATGAAAGATTTGTTGAATAGCTCTTAAAATATTTGATGTAAGTTTTATATTAGTTTAAAGTGAACTATCAATATATCATACTTTAAATTTAAAAAGAGATCCTATGAATGGGAAGGAATATTCAGAAAGATAATCGTACTCAGAATATTGCGATTTAAACGAATGGCGAATAACAGGCTACCTTGTTTTCTCACAATTGTTTACTTCTATAAGAGACTGTAAAGACTGCTGTATTAATAGACGATATTTTTATAATTAACTGATAACCTCGTTGGAGAATGTTTATGTGAAAAGACTTTGCGTAATATGTTACATAAGAAGAATTTTACGTATTCCTCGGATTTCTTTCCGTTCATAAGATTGATATCGTTTTTAAGGCGATTAGGTAATCGATACAATTAATGTCAACGTTTTGTATGTACGGTATTTAGCGTGTTAACTGGTAAAGCAGTTCTGTGTATTACACAAAAAGAAAGAAGCAGCATTCAAGACGAATCTACAAGACACATATTCCAGACTGGTGCATGTTACCATGACAGAAAAACCCAACACAGTACCTGATAGAATAAGCTATATCGTTTAGAGTGAGACGTAGAAATGTCAATGTTATTACTGTACCTCCACTAATTGTTATTTATTGCATTTTACATTCAGCATATACTTTAGGTGAACACATTACACTGGATCATGCAATAATATAGTCACCATGAGCACAGTATGAAAACAATTAACGCTAGAATTAATTCGATCTGCATATATTAAAAAGACTATCATATCTTCATTCCATAGAATATTACCACATTTCCATAATAAAGTCTGTTAGAAGTCTAATATATTATTACTGTTCCGTTTCGTTTTATTCAAGGGACGAGAACATACTACTATTATATTGTCGATACTTTGCGTCTAATATACGGAGATATTTAGTTAACTAACTGTGCACCATGATTTACTTATTCCGTTTATTGAACTTTGCAAATCGCATTACAATAGCTCTTATATAGTTCACACAGATCAGATACAGTTGAAATAGAAAGAATCGTTTTATTTACACATGAATACATGGAACTTGTTATATGTATTATAAATATAATTATGAGAATCTCATATATATAGAATCGCATATACAATATTGAATTTATATATTCTTAAACAGTTCTTTTCTTTCTTTTTCTTTTTTTTTGTGCAGCAACCCTTGTTGCGAATGCGTTTGCATGCATTCAATGCTTGCGATTTTATTTAACTAATCTGTTTTGCATTTGTTATATATAATGTGTAATGCCTGTTACATTTTATATTATTTCCATATTTGTTGAGGGTATATTCATATGCTTTTTCATGTACTTTTGTATTTGTTGATGGTATACTTTAGAAAATCACTTCTATAGCGTTGATAGCTAAGCTGCCGTATAATAACGAGAAAGAGCAAAACATTAAACCGATTGTTCCTTTAGTTGATCATTACGTATTGTTAATATTATGTACCAGAAAGATACACTTTCACGTTATACACCCCTGCGCTTTGAAAATGTGTGTGTTGTGTATGTGCGTATGTATATACACATACATATGCAGCATACAATAAAAGCACTTGGAAGAATAATTTTGAGAGAGAGAGAGAGAGAGAGAGAGAGAGAGAGAGAGAGTTGTTAATTATATAAAAAATGAATTCAAAATGATAATTAAGTTTAGAAGAACATTATGCTATGTGATGTATAAGCAGTAGAAAGTATGCAATGCTTTTCGAGTTATTTTACTTTCTTACATGTTTGGGCTTGTGTCCACGATATTAAAATTGATTTTGAATTTTTAGATAAAAATCTTCATACACACATAAATAAATCCAGATAGTATATAATTTGTATTTCTCTAATTTATGTCAAGATTAAAATGCAGAATTAGCTATTTAAGTTCAAACTTTCAAATATGTGTATTTTTCCTGAGCATTTAAATTATTAATTATTGATTATTAATTATTCTTCCGATATTTTAATATATAATAAATCTTATTCAGAATAAAAATACTTGTTGGCATTTTAGCAACCTTTCGTAGACACAAGCTTTTGGATATATATAACTCCCAGTTGTACGAGTTTCTTGAGAGAATGAGTTTACGCTTATCAAAATTGTCCTCATCTCATTTCTTACACTTAAGTAGCATAATGTACTATACTTCCCTTAGCTGTAACATATGTTACTCCAGTTACATGTACAATTCTGCTGCTGTATTCCCGACTCCATATCTGCAGTATCAGTAATGGAGTATCGTATTACAAAAAGAGAAAGAGGTAGCCGCAGCGACGAATGAATCGCCAACAGCAATCAGTAATTTAATTGAAACGACAAAACACTCCGTACACGCATACCATAGTGCTCTTGAAACAATTTCGTGGATGTGATAAGTTTTATGTCGTGAACAAATGACTATAGAGTCGCCGTTCAGGAGAGGAAGTCAAAGTGTTTTACGCGAAGCGACTGCAGACCGTTCTTCTTTTGCAAGGAGGCCTGCAGGACACTTTACGTGAAGCATTCCGTATGTACAAAATCCACGAAGATAACTACCTTATAGTACATACAAAAGCAATAAGCATCGTCTCGCGTCTAGCGCGTCCTTCGTATTACCGCAAACGCGAACTTCGGAAATAAATGATATCATATTATAGATCATAATCTACTTATCACCGTAACAAATATTGCGCGCATTCATTGATCATTAATTATTATAATTTACCGAACAAACTAGAAACACGATATCATCGTGTCATCGTGAATCTCTTAACAATTAACTCTTGCGCATTATTTCCACTATCTTATAATCTTAATTTAGAAATACCTACAATGCGGCAGCCAAAGAGAAGAATGTTTTATTGTCTTTTAAATCGGGACTTATATGAAATCTGTGCAAGACTACTTGGTCGCTCCATATATGATAATATACACACAAACATAAACATACACATTCCTTTCATACAGAGTACGATATAATTTATCAGACAGACTGTAGTGTTAAATATATAGTAGCAAGTATTGATTGTATTGTACGGCGGCTCTAGTCGAACGAATATACCTCCGTAATTGTCACTCTGTACAGAGTGATTTACATTACTTAATTTTAACTTAACGTCGGTACCTATTAGACTATTGTTTACAATTTTTTTAAAATGCAGTTTACCTCAAAGATTATATTTTCACGCCCGGTGGATATATACGCATGTACGTGTATACAATATATTATATTACATATACATATATATATATATTATGTATACATATATATTGCGTGTGTAACAGCACACACCGTATATGTATATATGAATAGCCAAGACATTACATTTTATTTTACACCTAATATATACAGAAGAAGAGAATCCAGTAATTTTATTCATTTATACTATTATCGTTAATTATAATTATTATATATTAAGAAGACTATTAATTTATTTTCCGCAAGCCCTCATTTCGCCCTTCTTTCCAATTTAGATCTATTATCTCGATGTGTGCGACAATTATCCTTTAGGGTGCAGTTACTTTGTACATACTTTTACCTGCGATTGTATATATACATATTATATTATCTGCGAAGAACATTAAAATATATATTTTAATATATTATGTATAATGAACTACATGAAATTATAATCTTATTGTTTGAAGTATTAAGACTAAATACACTAAATATTTAATAATACTGTTGACCCTTCTTGAACATGTCGTCTTGTTGTAACCACTGATTCAATAAAATTAAGACAATGTACAAATGCACATTTAAGTGTAAAAAAAAAGTATATCCCTTCTGCAGCACGAAGAACATTCGATACAGGGTACAGTGAGTCAATACGATTTCGTAAATGGAGCAACTTTATTATCAAAGAACTTGTAGCAACATTGGCGTAACAACAAAATATCGACAATGTAATACACTTACTAATATCTTTATTATATGAGGCATTTAAGGCCAAATAGAATATAATTTTTTTTTATTTTATATTAAATGTTTTATATATGTGTAAACGCGCGCACAGTTCATATATAAATCTACCAATATGAACTAGCATTCATATATCAATAAGGAATATCTTCTGTAGGAATATCTTTTGTAGGAATATCT